TCCTACTGTTACAGGAGAATGTTTTATTTCCAGGTTCAGGTTTGGCATCAGTTAGAGCACTCTGACTTGGGTGGCAGGTTTCTTATACAACCGTCACAGGAGGATGAAGGCTTTTATAGCAGTAGCAGATTAGTGGATGCACACTTTGCCGATGGTGAGGCACTATATGTTCCATGGTCTCTTTCAAACAAAAGTGAAAATCCTGCCTTTTTAGGTGTTTGGTTTTTTTCTCTTCCTTCCAGGTCCATCATTATGCTACTCTACCTTAGTGAGGAAAGAATGAACAATCATTTGAAACTTCTGTAAAAACAATTAGAGGCTTCTTTCTCCAAAGACAAACAAGTATAAAATATAAGAGAAATAAAAATGTGTCAGCTTTGTGCTTTATGCTTAGGCAGAGAGAAAACTAAGATATCACAGGTCCTGACTGGTCAGGTACTGTATTCACCCCTCGACAAAGGACTGGAGTTGGAGGGGATGGAAAATGGAGGGAGAGGTGGCGGACTGTTGCAAGGTCTCTAATAAGTAGCTTCCTCAGATTCTCCTCCCTTTCCTCAGAGTGGACTTTCAGAAATTATTCTTTATGCATGCCCACTTGTTTGTCAGCCTTGCTGTCAAGGTTGCTGAAGAATTTGCTAGTTGGTAGCGAAGCTTATGTTAGGAAAGAATCTAAATTTATTGTGCAGCCTCAGAGTAATGACTTTGTGTTAAAGCAGTAGACGGAAAAAGGAGGAGAGCAGAGGGGCTGAAGGGCTCAATTACAAAAAACATACAAATACGTAACTTTACATCCTCCGTTGTTTGAGAAGCAAACATGAAAATGTTTGAAGAACTGTATTTTAGTTAAGAACAAGAATTTCTTACTTGGTGCTTCAAAGATATATGCTTAAATATTTTTAGCTGAAACATATTTAGAGCTTTCTGCTTTCCAGAAATCTTAGAACAGTAACAGTGACAACTAGAGCATAAAAAAAAATCAGGTGCCAGAATGGAGACATATTTGAAAATTTTGATATTCAGATATGAAATAGATAATTTTCAGTGGCCTTTTATACCAATTTCCTTTCCTATCCCTAAGGCTGGGTATAGTTCATGCTTCTACTTGTGGGCCCAATACTTCACCTAGACCTACTCTCTTTCAAATGATTCCATACTTCAAAGTTATCTCTTTATTCTGACCTCCTACGTCTTCAAATCTTCCAAACAACAAAACCCCTTTCTATTCCTTCAAGCCTCCACCAGCTCATTCTGTATGTAACAGAATGGTCACTAAGGCCATTGCTAAAGGGTTGCTAAACCCCATTCAGAACCTTTTCTTTGTCTTTCTAATAGCCACTGACATAATTAGAGACCCAGTAGCAACAGAACCACTAGATTATATACATTAGACCAAGGAACTTGGTGGATAAAAAATAAAAAACATTAAAATACATTGAGAACATAAACAACCTTGCCAAGTGAAATTTAAGAAAATTTAGCCTTGTGTGAATCATTTTATCTACTTTTCAATCTAGACCACTTAGTGAAAGGTCAGGAACACCTGAAGGAACGGTTAGCTATTCAGTCCTGTTATGATCCTATCATACTAGTTCCAAATCTAGAATATATAAATTTCCACGGTAAAATAGTTCCTGTCTACAAAGGCAAACTAGTTATAATCTTAGTTGGCAAAAAGTAGATGAGATGTTAGAAGCACAAATTTAACAAATGCTATTTTATTATTTACTAAAATACATAGTGATTATAAGAGTACAAGTCACAAATTACAAAAGGGAAAAGTAGAGACAGATGCATTAAACAACAAGGTACCCATTCACATGGAGTCCATTTAGAATAAAACAGTTGTTTGTTGAAGTTAGACAGGAACAAGAGTAGGTACATTGCTGTGTAAAAAAATGCCAGTTACCTAGAAGTATGCCACTACCAAAAAGTAGAAAAGTGTTGGCAGGGCATCTAAATGTGTCCTAAAATAGATTATAGCATATAGAGGTCCAGTGTTCTGCAACAGAACCATTGGTTTTAGGTCGGAATCTGTGAGAGACTTGACTGCCTATCTTGCTGGAAGAGCAAAGCCCCAGGACCAATGAACTTCCCTACCTTCCATAAAGCTTTGTTCAGGTGACTTTGGAATGTGGTGTCAAACACCTCATTCATTTCTGCTGCAAGTTCCCTCAGAACAGAAACTGTGGACTCATCATTGGCATTCAGAATCCGCACAAAGAATTTATTCCACAATCCACCATCTTTTAGCCTAAAAATATATAAAATCATTTCCATCAAGATTAGGCATATGAAAAAAGTTAAAATTCTTTGTGTTTAACTCAGAGGTACATTTATTCATCAAGATGATTTAAGGTGATGCCCAGAATTCTAGGGTTAGAGATCATTCAAGCAGTCCAGTGAAAGTCCAAGGTGAAACTTAAAAAAATAAAAGACCATGGTGGGAAAAGCCATAATACAATGCACATAAAGGGAAAATAAGCCTCTCATCTAAATCTATACATTTCTGGTGTACTAAGGCGCAGCACTTCTCTTCTACAAATAGAAGAAAATGAATTTTGTCTCCTCTAACTTTCCTAAAGTCTAGGGCATTAAAAGACTACAGCACCTGTCCCCCCGCCCAGTGGTTTATCATCTTCACAATCCTCTGAGAATGCTAAGCTCGACTGAAGTAACTACTGCTTAAGTCTAAGTTTGTACTTTACTTGTTTCAAAAATCAGAGATGCTTCAATTATTGTATAAGGCAGAGCTATTGGGAAACCCCAATTCACCCCACCTGTTTCTGTTTGTGTTAGACCCACCCATGATCATAAACAACGGGGGATACCGGAATCTGGACTATGTCTGTCTCTTACATTATATTTCAAGCCTATTTTTCAAGTACATGTTAGAGACAAATAGGACTGGCCAAATTCTGAATCATATAAAGAAAAAGAAATGCTATTCAATTCTTGGGAAGGGGAAATGGAGGAGAAGGGATGTTAAACCTTTAACATTTATTTATTTATTTAAGCCAAAGAACAGCCCTGGCTGGTGGGGCTCAGTGTACTGACAGTGGGCCTGTGAACTGAAAGGTTTGATCCCCAGTCAGGGCACATGCCTGGGTTGCAGGCCAGGTCCCCAACTGGGGGCATGTGAAAGGCAACCGACTAGTATATCTCTTGCACATCGATGTGTTTCTCCCTCTCTTTCTCACTCCCGTCCCCTTCTAAAAAAAATAAATCTTAAAAAAAAAAAAAAACTACAAATAAATAAAACTTACAAAATCTTAAAAACCAGGATGGTAAACCTGTTCTGGAAAGTTATTAGCTCTGATAAACTAACGTGACACATGGGATATTTAAGTTGAAAGAACAGGCTTGAGGGAGCACTAAAGTTCTGAGACCACGCAGCTCTCATTAAGAGACCATTTACTTCTTCACCAAGGAGATTCAGTTCTCTGCTTTGGTTCCACCCATTCATTAAATAAATAATAGCCTAGAATTAGTATATAATTTAGAAATTTAACTCTCTTCAAGAGATGCTTAACCTTTGATAACAACAACTATGAAAAAGGGGTATAAGATTAAGACCAGCTCTGGCTGGTGTGTCTCAGGGGACTGAGCACTGGCCTGTGAACTCCAAGGTCTCCTGTTCCATTCCTAGTCAGGGCACATGCCAGGGTTGTGGACCAGGTCCCCGGTTGGGGATGTGTGTGCAGTGGCCAATTGATGTTTCTCTTGCACATGTTTTTCTCCCTTTCTTTTCTCTTCCCTACCCCTCTCTCTAAAAATAAAAAATAAAATCTTAAAAAAAAAAAAGACTAAGGCCAATTGGTTAGAAAGTTATTCTGGTGAAATGTTTCTACTAACATTTCTAAATTAAGAGGCTTTAATACTACAATTGCAGTCTATACGATACATCTAGGTCCAGAATAATGTCCTGAAGTCTGAATAGTTTCTTATTTTTAATTAACAATTCCTCTGTCTTGCTCTAGGTGTTCCACTGATACTCTTAACAAAAATAGGTTGAAATTAATGGAATCAGGGCATTGGGACTAAGGCTGCCAAAGCAGAGATAGCACCCAAGAGAAAGAGAAGATGATATGAGCAGGCATAGACCCTGAAATCACTAATACTTACTCAGAAATATTTTGGCTAAGTTTCCAGAGGGACCCATCCCAGAAGACCTGTAGGTGCTCCTTGAACAACAGTAAATGTGCTAAATCTGCTATACCAAACAGATCTACCTGAAATCACAAAAAGCACCATCAGCTAAAATAATTCTCTGCTACTACCACGGCAATTTATTTATGTAGGAAGTTGAGAGATACTATAGTGATTAAGTTTATTTTATGACATAATATTTTAGTAAACTGTTCCTTACCCTTACGGTAAAGGGGAAAGCTCCTTAAAGAAGTGATCAATTAAGCTAACTCTAGGAATCATCCTTAAGAACAAAAGGTAACAAAAATATCTGGACTGTCAAATTCAAATCTGTGAATCTGCTGAATTTGCATGGACTCCAGCTGTGATCTAAATGTCGACCATAGGATTAATTCAGGTTCATGCTACATATTCAGTCAGCAAATGCCTTATGTCCAGAGCTGAGTCAGAAATGACTTGTGCATGTAACATACAAAATACTTTCTATTTGTCCTGTTACTTTTATATTACATCATTTGATTTAATACTCACAACAATTCTCATGAATATAGAGCAGACTGTCTTCCTTATTTTACAGAGAAGATCACAGAAAATGACTTATAAAAGGCTACACAGACAGGTGGGAGAACTGGCTCTGACAGCTGGGTTACTGAGTCAGTCACTGGTCTGCACGTGTATGTGTCTATTCTTTAGTGTTAAGACAAAAAATGGTACATTTTGCTTGACTTGATATTTGAAAACTAGGTCATCTATTTCAGGAAAGAAAATATCAGTAAATAGTAGCTTTCATAGCTCATCTAGAAACGAGATTAAGAAACCCTCTCCATATTTGCTCAGGCTTGTTTTACACTTACCTGGTAGGGAGAAGAACAGTTAGCCAGGATCTTTTGTCCTTCCAGAATCTGTACAGTCCGAAAGCCACTGAGGGGAAAAACATCTAGCTGTGCTCTAAGGTCAACGCTGTAGGAAAAGTCCACTATGTTCAAAGCTTGATTGTTCTTTTCACAATCATAGGGATCGTAGATTCTAAGCCCAGATTTAAAAGAAAGAGATAATAAAAATAGGCCATGAAAGAAGCTGCATAGCTGCTCTTAAAAAAAAGAAAATGAAGAGGCTCAGTAGGTGTGTCTTAGCTATGACAACAGCTCCCTCCCGTGGTTAGTTTTTAAAATGCACCTGTGAGAGTAGTGGCAGTGTCCATCCATGGAAGTGGGGAATGTCAAGATGAGTTTGGTGACACAAAGTACTTACTGCATATCTAAACCATAGTGCATGGTAACCACAGAACATTTATCAAGTTTCCATATTATATAAAGTAAGTACTGGAGGTAGTGCATGCTTCTGCCTTACACTGTACATATTAACACATATAAAAGCAACAATTATATATACTGATAAAAATTATCAGTGAGGAAATTAAGCTTTTACAGGTGTCATAGTCTTCCTTGTTTACTATTATAGATTAGGCTTTCCAAGTTTCTATTTTCATTCAGAGTCCTCCTCCCAGAGTTTGACTGAAAACAATATAAAGCTGTTTTTTGATAAAGTGCTACCTACACTGAAATGTAAACTATCCTGTTTCTAGTAAACTAATGCTAAATTCAACCTTGCTCTTATTCCAACTCTTATTTCCTAAAAACAAAAACAAAACAAAAAATAAAAATACAACTTTGTAACACTAATTCCTATTAATTTCATTTTCCCTGGGTTTATCTATTCCATGCAATAAAGCTATTATATTCATAGAGATGTAGGAACTATTTATGTGAGAGAAAACGATGGATTATTTTTGTGTTCCTTTGTCTCTCTGCTTTTCTCAGACAGTTCCCGCAAATTCCTAATTGACCTTGGTGGCAGGTCCTCTATTCCTAGATACAGGATTTAACTATCCCCATCATGCACTTCTACAGCACAGAATGATCTAGTTTACTTTAAAATTTATATTTGCTCCCATTCATCCTTGGCACAAGTGCAACCGTGCTTTTGGCCATCACAAAACTATCATTCTCGGATATTTTTAAAACTTGAAAGAGGCAGGAAAAGTGTTTCTTAGGTTAATAAAAAGAAAGAGGTATGTCTCTTCACACTCTTAATTGGTCACTCACTGTTACCATGGGCAAGGTATTCCACTTTTTTGGGTCTTCTTTTCCTCACAAAAAATATATAGACACTGCATTAAATGACTTTGAAAAGTTCTTTTAATCCTTTTTGATTCTATATGAAATTTCCTATCAAATTTGGTAAGTGGTGACAAAAAGGCAGCATCCCCTTCACACGGTGTGCTTTTCCGGAGTCCTCTGGTGACTGAGAGAAGGGATATCTAAAGACATAGCACAAAAATGCCTAATCCTGAAAAGGCTTAGAATATCCCTTTGCTTATATCAACCTGAGAACTCTAGCACTATCCTCTAATTTTCAGTGGTGTGAGACACAGTGAAAATAAAAACCATACCTGGGGTTCTCACATTTGGAAACACATGGGAGGATTTCTGATGGTCACAATGGCTGGGGAAATATAACTTGTATTTCATTAGGTGGGGTGGGAGCAGTTTTGGGGGAACAGAGATATAAAACATCCCAAAACACTTGGGAACAGACCTGCACAAAGAACAATCTCATCTAAAGTACCTCAGGTGCCCTGGATGAGAAGTGCGGCTATCCTATGCCTGGAGAAGGCTGAAAGATTCTGCTGCCTCAGGAAAGAAGGTGGGATGCTCCAGTTCTTTTGGTTATAATTGCAGAAATACATTGAGGGTTCCTTTAATTTCCATGCCAACTAAAATTTGGAGTCAAATTGAGTCTTCTCTTCCAGATTAAGTAATCAGGAGAAGCTTTTAGTATTTATCAAGGACCTCGGAGAAAGTTAACTGCTTATCCAAGGTCAGGGGACACGGGGTTGGTGCAGATGGCGTCTTTACACCAGGCTGCTTTACTCAAGTACCCAGAGACCAGGAGTCACTACAAGGGTGTGCTGGTCCTCTAGTCCTTTCCATAAAACAAAAACTGTGGGCTATGCCTTTCTTGTTCATGTCTTAATTTGTTCTTCTTTTTAAAAATAATGTTATTGTTTTTTATTAGATTTATTGGGTGACATTGTTTAATAAAACCATACAGGTTTCAAGTGTACAAATCAATAAAACACCATCAACATACCGCATTGTGCGCCTGTCACTCCAAGCAAAATCTTTTTTCCACCCCCATTTTTCCCACTTCGCCCAGCTTCACCCACCCCATCCTGCAATCCCCTGTCCCTCTGGCTATCACTACACTGTTGTCTGTGTCTATGTATTATATGTATGTTTTTCTTTTTTTTTGCATTAATCCCTTCACCTCTTTCATCCAGCCCCTCAACGCCCTCCTCTCTGATAGCTGTCAGTCTGTTTCATGTACCCGTGCCTGTGCTCCTGTTTTGTCCATCAGACTGCATGTGTCAGTGAGATCATATGGTATTTATTCTCCCTGACCGGCCTGCTTTACCATATGCATAATAATCTCCAGGTCAATCCATGATGTTGCAAAAGATAAAATTTCCTTTTTCTTTATGGTCAAGTAGTATTCCATTCTGTAAATGTACATGCCTTAATGTGTTCTGAATTTTCTCAGTTCTTAAGTATTTGAGCTCTGTTTCTTATTTCCTGCTCTGTGCGTACCCCTTGAATCTGATGGCTAAGCCAGGTTTAATTTGAACACTAAGCCCCTCTTCTTGGCATAGTTTGCATTTGTACTCTGGTTTTACCCATTCCTCTCAGTAATTACCTTAATTTGGCCTGACTTAAGCGTCAGTCTTTGAAACTAAGCAGTGCCTTGGTTTTGCTAGTATACTCACTAGGTCTGTACTGGTCCCACTCAAAGACATATCAGACAATCTACTTTACATTCCCCCCAAATATTCATATTTTATATTTCTTCTTGACAGGAATTATTATAATACTGAGTGGGTGATTCTTTTGTCTGAATGAATGTATTTCCAAAACAAATTTTTTTTCTTTGAATTCCTTTAAACCATTCCCAATGATTATTTCCTTTTACATAGCAAATACTCTCTTAACATACTGTGTTGGTCAAAGTGGCATTTATCCAAAGGCAGAAGAAAATGGCAACTATTAATGTTTTAAGAGAAAGCTAAGAGAAACATTAGAAGAATGAAAAGGACCAACCTGTTTCTAAAAATCAGACTCCTTGGACTCAAGTCACCATGGACTACTTCTGCTTTGTGTAGTTTCTCCACTATTGTCAAAAGGTTATAAACAATCAACACTGTTATTTCACGGGTAATAAATTCACTGTGTTGAAAAAGATCCTGCAGATAGAAGGACAAACAAACTCACTATTTCTTAAGATAGAGTGACTATACTTACACTCAATACCTTGCTTACTGCTGCTTTACACTCTTCCTTGTTCTCTACTAGAACGTAGATTCCTTTGTAGGTTGGGCCTTTGCCCCAGTTTTAACAACACTGCTCTTCTGTAAGATTGTTTGTGAGGGTTTCACAAAATAACGGGCAAAGAGCATCAAGGATGGACCTGGCCCCTAAAAGGTGCTCTATAAATGTTAGTTTTCAAATACCCTTATTCCAGCCATTTTAGATAATTTGTATTACAATCAAAATATGTAGCAAAACCTTCTAAAGAACATTCCCAAAATTAAAATGTTATATTGTGTTTGGGTTCTAAAAATAACCCAGTTGGGGGGGGGGTGGGTAGTATAGGTAAAACAAGAGTGGCAAAAATAGACTTTTCATTCAGCCTCTGGTTCCCATTCCTTACAAAATGAGTTTGGAAGTTGCCATTCTGTCTTACTGAGTAAAAAGCTCAGTAACTCTTCTAAGTTCTGGAAGCACAGATCTACACTTTTGTGAGCTTTTACCTGTAGGAGCTATAAACCAGGTTTTCACAGTAAATATTAGAAAAAAAATTCCTCCTGTTCTTCTGGCAGGAGGAGGAGAAAAGAAACCATTTTGAAATAGTCCAGGTCACTCTGTTCTTAACAGGGTCTGCCCTCAGGGGAAACTAGTTAACCAGGGCCTACCCGAACTGGGGAAAGAACCACAGCCGGTTATAACTCCAACCAGTTATAGCTATCCTGTTCCACATGAGGGCGGTTGGGGCAGAAGACTGAAAAACACTTGTGAAGTTCACAGCCCAGAGGCATAGGCTCACTTAAAAAAGAATATAAATCACAGGACTATATAATGCTTCCCCTCCCCTCACACCTTATGGCTACATTACTGAGGGTCTATTTATAGCAGTTCTTTTTACTCAGTACATCATGTCCAGCTACCAAGAAAACATTATTACAAGGAATACTGAAAGGCAAAAACAAAATTTGAAGAGACTGATCAAGCATCAAAACTAGACATGGCAGGGAAGCTGGAATTATCTGATCAGGAATTTTAAAACAAGAGGGACCGTGAGCTGATGATCATAGATGATTGGGTCATTGTACAATTATTTACTTTTGTATATGTTTGAATATTGACATAATAAAAAGTTAAAAGAGGCACTTGGTCAAAAGAACTTGGGAAAAGAAAATGATCAACGTTTTTCATTTATAATGAATTGGTCTATTTCTAGAAGAATAAGAAGAATTTTGTTCTAAATTCTTTTACTAAATGAAGCACAAATCTACCTGAGGACTTGAAATAATGTTTTTATATTATTGCAAACCTGAAGGGTGAAGCAGTTTGTATACTGGTGCCAAACAATACAGCCATCTTGGTACTGATAATAGCTGCACAGATAATCACACTCTTCATTTAAACGTTCTTTTAACTTGAGGTTGATATAAAAGTCCCATGGGACAGTTTGAGAAGATACCTGTAAGAAATTATGTTTTAAAAATAAAAGCAGTTAGAATCTATGGTTATAGTTAGCAGATTAAAAACATTCCCTCCAGCCTTTCCAATACCCCAACAGAAATAATAGTAAAGGATGTTTTAAAA